TTTCTGGCCGTTCTTGGCTCCTAATGAAATAAATTTGTTATGCCTGCATAAACTATTGGAAATATATGCCAAATATATGTGTTGTACGTGGTGGCCGCGGACTATAAGTATACGTAAAAGTTTTCGAGGGTTTTGACTAATAATAAAAGATTTTTGTGGAAATTTGAACATTTAAAGCACCCGAAAAAAACAAACGCGGTACTCTCGATAAAAATCGGCATGCAAGAGAATTCAATAATCGGCATGTCATAAACTATTCCTAAGTCTTGAGAAAACACGGAGACTGTCCGACTTGAATTTTTATACCCTGATCCCATTGAAAATGGGAAATCAGGGTATAATGGTTTTGTGCAAATGTACGGAACAGGGAGGAGGTGCGGCAAACTCAATAAAGTATATATATTCTTGATCAGGACGACAAACCGAGTCGATTGAGCCCTGTCCGTCGGCCTGTCCGTCCGTCTGTTCGTCCGTCTGTCCGTATGTGTGAACGCGTCGATCTCAGCATCTATAAGAGCTACGGAAATTTTTTAGTAGGTCGCATTCCCCCTCCAAATTCTGAAAATGTAAATTCACTTGGAAATAAGGCCATTCTGTGACGGTGTTTGCATCTCAACCAAGCCAATAAAATATGTAGATCATATGCGGAAAATTTCATTAAAATCCATTAAGTAAAACAGAAGTTATTAAACAAAACGTTTGGCCAATTTCCAAAAGCACATGTCAGCAGCGCCACGCGCACGCATTTTTCCTATGCGTGTGCACACATACATTCAAATGCGTGTATTCTTTTCTATTCCAAGAATTGAAATTGCAATTGAATTGTGCTGAATATTAGCTGCTATAACGGGACTTCTTAAAGCGACAAAATGCAAAGGACCAATCAGGGCGCAATTAGCGGCTGATGCAATATTTTTTAGTATGATGAAATTAGGAATTCTGGTAATAACCAGAATTCTCATACAAAGCAATACACACACAGGAATTCTGGTAATAACCAGAATTCTCATACAAAGCAATACACACACAGCGCGTACGTGCAACACGCAGGAACAATCAAATACAGTGCGTACATACAGTACGCTCCGACACGGCCATCCTGACCTTGACACGTCCTCGTGTAATATGCCAAACATTAACTTTAAAAATGTCTTTGTAATAGATTTCAAACTTAATTCATCGTCTCTTTTAGACGGATATCCAACCAATAATCATCGTTTCTCTTAAACGGATAACCATTAACAATCGTCTCTCTTAGACGGATATCCAACTGATAAAATATTCAGTTCAACATTTCTTCATACAAACTCTTAACATTTATTCTTAATTAAAACATTTGAAAACATATTTCTTTCAATTCAATTCAATAACTTCACCTATGCAAGTTACAAAAATAAAACATGATGCTTGTTTTATTACATAATATTTTGCCAAATTGTCGATTTTACATTTTCTTTAACTAAATTTCCAAATTTCATTCAAAAAGAAACAATCATCGTCTCACTTGGACGGATAACCTTCGTCTCACTTGGACGGCTCACCATCGTCTCACTTGGACGGATAACCTTCGTCTCACTTGGACGGCTCACCATCGTCTCACTTGGACGGATAACCTTCGTCTCACTTGGACGGCTCACCATCGTCTCACTTGGACGGTTCACCCTCTGCTTCTATCAGACCATTTGACGAGCCTGGATCTTCATCCTCAATGTCCAGCTCATGGGGCACATTTCCCTCTGGAAATTTTCTTGTGTCCTCGTGACAGTATTTATATAATCGTTTACTCGATAACGACTTTAACATGTATCTGTCACCGTCTAGGACTTTAACTACCAAAAATGGACCCTTGAATTTTGGGTCTAGTTTTGTCTGGTGTCTCTCCTCGTTCTTGAGAAGGACATAGTCACCAACACTATGTCTTACAACGGCGGCCTTGGACTTATCAAATCGATTTTTGTTGTAAAAGGCTAAAGATTTCATACTGCTACTTGCTCGAGCCCGTGTGGAGTCTAAGTCTACTTCCAATTCTGTGTCCAATGGAGGAACTAATCCAAGAGGTCGACCTTCTTTCCCTATTAACATTTCTATGGGACTAGCCTCAGTTGCCCGATTTGTTGTGCAGTTTAAAGCTAGCTGCACCTCGCCGAGAGCATCTTGCCAGGGCCTTTGGCTTAATTCGACTGCAGTTAATAGGTTCTTGAGCGTGCTCATAACGCGCTCAACTTGTCCATTAGCACGACTTGCCCCAGTCGCGATTAAATGAAGTTTTATGGTTTTTGAACAGCAAAATTCTGCAAACTGCCCGCTAGAAAAACATCTACCCTGATCAGCTATAATGCGTGTTGGTGCACCAAACAAGGAAGTTGAAGACTTTATGGCCCTGATACAACTCTCCGTATCTATTTTGAGAGTGTGGTACAGGTGTACGAATTTTGTGAAGCTGTCAATTTGAACAATGATATATTCCTTTAAATCACTTTTACCACTTAATTTGCCAGTAATGTCCATATGGACGGTGTGCCAAGGGATGCTAACCCTTGGTATAGGATGTAATTCTGCTTGAACTTTGCCGGAATGTGACTTTGCTGTCCTGCAGGTTATACAATTGTCAACAAATTTACGGACATATTTGTTCATTTTCTCAAACCAGTAAAATTGGTAAACTTTGTCAAGTGTTTTTTGCCAACCAAGGTGCATGATTGACTCATGTACCTGGTTAACTACTGACCATCTGAAATTTCGGGGCACAACTGGCAAGCATCGTGTCTTACCATTTTTTTGGATTTTACGAAACAACATCCCTTTTCTCAAATCATATGTTTTAGTTACTTCGTCTAGTAGGTCATTTGAATTCAGTTTACTGACAAGGGCAGCAATATCCGGGTCCAATTGCTGTTCGGCAAACAACCAATTATTTGAGATTTCTGCTATGTTTATTCGCTTCTCGGGAATTTTTTCCAAAATTAATTGTTTCTGAGTGACTGGGTTTCTAGATAAGAAGTCGACATGTGCCATACGTTTTCCTTCTCTGTACTGTATGTCAAACTTGAAAGATTGTAAATAAGACCACCAGCGATGAACTCTAGGAGTTAAGTCTATTTTGGTTCGCGATGCCTTTAACGAGTTACAATCTGTATAAACCACAAATTCTCTGCCAAGCAAGTAGTGACGGAAATGTTTAACGGATGCAAATACTGCCAGAGTTTCAAGCTCATACGAGTGGTACCTAGACTCGGCTGGCGAAGTTGTTTTACTAAAATATTCTACAACGTGAAGCTTATTGTTAATTCGATGTAAAAGCATGGCACCAAATCCGATTGAGCTAGCGTCAGTGTGTAGTTCTATAGGGTATTGCGGGTCGAATATTACCAGAACTGGTTCGTTTGTAAGAATAGTCACAATTTTCTTGCGAATGCTTTCCAACTCAGTAGTCCACGCAAAACTTTCCCTTCCTGATGTTAGGGAATACAACGGCTTTATGACTTGAGAAAATCCGGGTACGAATTTGCGAAAATAGGATGCAAGACCAATAAACTGCCGTACACCAAAAACCGTCTGTGGCGGTGGCAACGATGTTAACGCAACAATCTTTCGCGAGTTTGGTCGAATTTCCCCTGCTCTTACCTCATATCCCAGATATTGAACGACTGTTTTTAAGAAACTACATTTGTTAATATTAAAAATGAATCCAGCATCTGTGAGAATGTCTAGTACTATTTTCAACCTTTCCAATCCTAATTCGACTGTGGGTGACACGATCATGATATCATCCATGTAAACAATCACGTATGAATAGGCCAAGTCACCCAAGGCACGCATGACTGCCCGTTGGAAAACGGATGGCGCATTTTTGAGTCCGAACGGCATGGTCAGGAACTCATATTGACCGTCCGGGGTCACAAATGCAGTGTATTCTATGGAATCAGGGTGGATAGGAATTTGGTGGAAACCACTCGCCATATCAAGACACGTGAAGTAATTTGCGCCACGCAGCCTAGCGATCTGGTCGCTAATGAGCGGCAAAGGGTACCTGTCTGCGATTGTGTTAGAGTTTAACTCTCTGTAGTCGACACAAAGTCGGTCTGTACCATTTTTCTTCTTGACAAGCAGCATAGGACTGGCAAAAGGGGAGCAGCTGGGTCGAATGATGTTGCATTTAAGTAACTCACTTAACTTTTCTCGGACAATGTCTCTTTCTTCAGGGCTAAGTCTATAGGGCCGGCGTTGTACAGTTTTGGTTGGATCAATCAAGCGAATTTTCATTTCCCCTGTCGTGACTCGTGTAGATGGTGCCCCTTTTACAAGTGCAGTGGAGTAATTCTCAAGCATTTTTATTAGTTTGTCTTTATCAGCCTCGCGCAATTCGGTATCGAGATTTGTAAGGTCAACTGGTTCCCTATCTATTGAGCAAATATTTACGGCTTTGGCTTTTACTACGTTAAACTTGTTTTGTGATATAGTGACATTAAATCCTTGTTTAAGAATTTCGCGGCCAATAACAATGTCGCTTTTCAAATGATTATCTTGCACTACATGGAACAATATTTGAAGTGCGTTCTCATTTATGGTGACTTGGCTTAATATTTGTAAGGTGCTATATATGCCAGTATCGCCTATACCTTTTAGCATGATAATGCTGTTAAAACGCTTACCAGCTAGCTTACTACATATTTTCTCTTTAATGAGTGAACACTCTGCGCCAGAATCAAAAGAAATTGGGTAAGTCTCACCGAGCTGCATCATCACTCCAGTTGGCTCTGGTACAAAGCACTGGTTCACAGTTTTCCGTTGGAATGCTCCCTGTGATTCCTTTTTCGGACATTGATTTGCGAAGTGTCCAGGCTGGCCGCACTTGAAGCAAGTAACAGTTGGCTTGTCTCGCTGAGATGTCGCGTCCCCCTTTTGTCGCATTTTGGCTCTGCACTCAGCAATTTTATGTCCTGGTTTGCCACAGAAATGGCACACTATTGTCAATATTCTCCTCTTCTTGGCGTCAGGTCCAGGTCCGGAGTCGTCATCACGGTCAGCATTACGATGTTTTTTTTTTAAAGGAGAATGCGCCTAGTTCGGATTGCAAGTCACTTCTAGTTTGAACTTTTGACGTGAACACAATCCGTTCCAAGCGGTTATCCACATTGGCTAAATGCGCGAGCACAATTGAAACAGCAATTTCTTCGATGTTTTTGTTTTTCCAATTGGAAGTTAAAGTGGTCACCAAACGGCTAGCATAAACCGCAAGACATTCGCCGTTAGTTGGGCGACTGTTTAGTAGATTTAGAAACATTGCCGACGACGTTTCACTATTTTCGTAGCGGCGGAGGAATAATTCCTTAAATTCAATCCACTTAATGCCGGGATATGCAATTTGAGTTAGCCACTGTGAGGCACTGCCCACCATAGCTTCGCTTAGTGCCATGATGAGTCTGCTTCCTTCTAGGGGCTGTTCCGTTAATATAATGTCAGCTGTGATGGACCACTTTGAGGCATCTGCTCCTGCAGTGTCAGAGAAAAATTTTGGCAAAGTGACGCCACGAGTCTGCTGTTGCTCCCGTGTTGACGCTTGCATGGTTCTTGCAAGCTCCAGCAGATTCTGGTTCTGCATTTGTAAAATTATGCGCCACTGATCCTCTGAGAATGCAGGAGGTGGTGCTGATCCCACTTCTGATGTTGGAGCGTCGTTAGTGTTTTCCATGGCTTTAATAGCGCAGCGAGTTTCGATGCGCAGGCTTCTCGATTCAAAGTTGAACTACTCGCCTTTTCGTTTCTCTGCCTCGCACCGAACCACACTCGACGACAGCGTTGTAGCGCTGTCGTCGCGCTATAACGGGACTTCTTAAAGCGACAAAATGCAAAGGACCAATCAGGGCGCAATTAGCGGCTGATGCAATATTTTTTAGTATGATGAAATTAGGAATTCTGGTAATAACCAGAATTCTCATACAAAGCAATACACACACAGGAATTCTGGTAATAACCAGAATTCTCATACAAAGCAATACACACACAGCGCGTACGTGCAACACGCAGGAACAATCAAATACAGTGCGTACATACAGTACGCTCCGACATATATATATTTTAGTAATCTGCAATGTGCATATAAATATTTAATTTTAATTGCATAATGATAATGCAAAATATTTTATTTTAAAATTTACCTACCTCGTATTAAGTAAAATGAATGGCTCAACAAGATTTTAATGTTTAAGGTCTGCCACTTTTCTATATAGTCAAGAATTGAGTTTTTTATATAGTTTTGGTTCATAAGAATGAAATAAACATGCGATATAGCATCCACAAATGAAATATCATCAGCTAATGTGCTATAGTACTTAATGAACGATTCAAATACTTCCGCCGTTAGGTCAGTTGCTTTTACTCGTTTAATAAATGTGCTCTCTGTTGTTTCCCATAATGCTTGATGACAATTCCAAAACGAAATGTATCTGTCCACTTCCTCCCGTTGATGCTTTACTTCAGCTTCGACATTCAAAATTAAGTCTTTACACTCTGCGTCATCGCGAAAAAGTTTTGGAAATGGAGTAGATTGCTGTTCCTTTGGCAACTTCATTTTATTCCCTACTCTTGGAAACTGTTGAAGTATGCTTTGTATCCTATAAATAATGCCTTTAATTAAGTCAGCTACAGTATCCATGGTAGGGTTTAATTCAATGCGTCGCTCTTTAATATCAGACTCCATAACCAAAACAGGAGACGCCGCAATATCAGTTTCACGATGAAGAGCAGAGCAAACCATACTAAGAGAATTTCGAGCACTTGTTAAGAACGCAGTAGCCAACATATCGTCAATCAAATTTACATAATTGTACCATTCCATAGCCATCTGAAAAATAAAGTAATGAATTAATAAAATGCAGAAATTCAACAAAATAAATAAAATTTAGTACATTTATAAATCAAGAGCCACTCTTAGATAATTGGAACAAGATTATCCCTAGAAGATTATAGGTCAATATAAAAATTTACAATTATACCAACGCAAGGGTTTATTTTGTATTAATAACATTAATACTACTGCAATCAGGGCGATGAATTCTAGAATCCGCTGTTAGCACAATGATCACAATTGATGGCCGTTGATAATATTTAATATGGGAGAGGCTCAAACCTTAAATTTTGTTTAAAACTTGAAAAAATATTTTGTGAGGCGTACGAATTGATGAAAAAAGTGTATGGTAATGATTGTTTAGCTCATTTAAAAGTTCATAAATGGTTTGAACGATTTAAAAATGATTGTGAAGATTAAAATGATAATGAAAGACCTGGTCGTCCAGAAGGAAATAATCGTGCTGAATTGTTGGAAAACGTCTGTTGGCTGAAGATTTAAATTCATCTACTGGTACTATTTTGATTTGGGTAAAAGGTCTATGCACGCTTTGTTACACATCAATTAAAGAAAAATTGAGTTTTACAACAATCAATACAATGTTGATCACATTCTTCGATTCCAAGGGTATTGTACACAAGAAATTTGTTAAACTAGTCATAAGACTATTTTCTTTTCCCTAAACAGAAAGCTTCTATTAAAGGCAGAAGGATATAATATTATCACAGCGCAGCTGACTATAAAGTTGATTTTCCAATGGAACAAAGTTCAGTCAACGGTTCACGGAATTAGAGGCAAAATGTGAAAATTTTGCCTTTGATAACGATGAGATATCAATCTGAGCTGGAATGCAATATCAGCATACTCTCAAGAAAACTAAGTAGAAGACTAGGCTACTTGCAAAATATAAAAGACGTTCCCGACCTACCGAAAGTGGATCTTCCTGACTTAAATGGAAGTACCAACGAGTGGCCAACGTTCTTCGAACACAAGGAAGCTGAACTACCTGAAATCATGCCTTATGGGAGAAGCCCAAATGGTCGTGGACCTTTTATTAATTGGCTTGTCTGCTAGCTATAATTCAGCATGGGACCTTATATGCAAGCACTACGAAAATAAGCGAAAAATATTTGCGAACGGCATCAACCAGCTAGAAGACATGAAACTGTTGAAAAACAATGATGAAGGTGGGGTGGTATCTTCAAGTTCTTGGACACAGCAAAATAAGGCATTTTCATTTTCAAAGAAAACGATTCATTTGGTAACGAAACTGACGTTCAATTCGCTCAAGCTCTGTTGCGATGATTCTCAACCGGATGTCCTACAACTTTACAACATGTAAAGAAGGCTAGAGGAATTCAGTCCTTCGACAATGTGCTGGAGTTTATTGAAAAATGTTCTTTAGTTCATTGAGCAACTATAAAACTCAACAAACTCAGTGGAAAAGAGTGCCGTCCATACATCGGTGGAGGCAAGGACAATAAGCTACAACATATGACGTTTTTGCCAATTGATTAGACATGAGATAACCAGGTGTCCGAGATTTTCAGCTAAACCTGTCAAAAAGCACTCAAAAATGCAATTAATAAAGAGACCGTCCGCAGCAACTGTCCAAATGAAAATATAAACAATATACGTTGCTGGAGACTGCGCTCATCCAGATTAAAAATAAGTCTGGCAAATACGAGCACCTTAGGGCTCTTATAGATGGAGGCTCGCAAAAAACCTTAATATCTCAAGAAGCCACACAACAATTAAAACTGCGCCGAACCAAAGGGAAAGTGGAATTTCGAGAAATTTCGGAAAATGTGGAAATTCTTCAAAATAATGTTTGCTTAACAATCGAACCCAGGCTTAAGAGCAAATTCGTCACAACAACGCAGGCACTTGTTATGCCAAAACTTCCGAAAGCTCTTCCGACCAAGAAAATTGACATGGATGTCAATAAGGATTGGAATGGTTGCGAGATAGCAGACCCACATTTTAACGAGCCCAGTCAAAGTGAGGTTGTTATTGCTGTTGATTTACTTTCCCAAATAATGTTGGAAAATGTGAAGAAAATCAACAAAACACTAAACTTGCATGAATTGTTTCCGGCCATATAGCTGGGTTATCAACCAACAAGGTAATCAGCGCATCAACAACGATGTGCCTGGACGTTCATGGTGCTCTGGGAAGCAACGAAAAATTGGGATGCTAAACAGACGGAGACACAGGCAACGGATATATACAGACATCACAGGCGCTAACGCTTCAAGAAAATACTGATCAATTTAAACAAATAAAAACAACGTAAATTATAGCTCCCAAACTAGAAATACAAATTTTTCTCAGCAGTCATTTAAATCCTCAAACGTAAGTGATAGGTCTAAAAAGCTGCAGAATAAAGAAGAAGCTCACAAAATTAATGATGACCAAAATTGTCTGTTGGTAGCCTCAACTTGCAGAGAGGATATACAACGAAAGACAGACATGGAGATGTCTTACGTATATCCAAATTCAGTCGCCATATGGACGACAATTAAACTTTTTGATAAACACAGGAGCTACAGTGTTATTTATCGACCCTAAATTTGTTCTACATAAACAATTTGTTCTACAACAAACAAACCAAAAATTATAACAACTATAACTAATAAACATGCATTACATTTATCAACTTCTATGAAAATGTTCAAAGAATTCTTGTTATCTAATAAGAATCGATTTATTAAAACAACTAAAGGCGACGGTAGACTTAGAAAACTTCGTGTTAAGAACACACAATGCAGAAATCCCGATAATAATAAAGAAAAACAGACATGGACGATGTCATCGTACGCTCAGCATCCTAACAGGAACAGGAATAATAAGAAACTTTAACCTTAATTTACAAATAAACAAGTCCGAATTTTTAAAAACTGAAATTTAATAAAGAAAGTAAAACCAAACCCAAAAAAATTAAAACAATAAAAAGATTCCTCTACCCAAAACACAAAAATAAATTAAATCATTTTTAGGCCTTTTGTATTATTATAGAAAATTTATTCAAGACTATGCTGGAATAACAAAACCTCTGACCAAACAATTAAAAGGAAAAAGAAAATCAGTCAGTATTAATGACGATTTTATAAAGGCCTTTGAACACAGCAAAACACTTTTCTGCTATTACCCAATAATGACATCCGGACTGTTCGGTCATGAGCATACAGCATATTCAAGAATTCTACGAATGCCGTCTACGCACTCAACTGCAGGGAGTGCAATAGGAATATATCACATATGCTTAGAATCTAAAATTAGACATACCAACGATAAGCCAGCCTTGAAATACGCTTGAGTACGGGTATATGAACTCACTCTCAGGCGAATAAATATCATTACACAACTGAACACCAAAACAGTCAATTGTATTCACATTTTGGTCCTCTGAGTACAGTCTACGTTTTGTGATAAGAGTAAAAGTGAAGTGAAAAATTCTTTACAAAATTTTCATTCAATTCAAACGGTGAGTAGAGACACAGCACGATCAACCATGCGATCAAAACTAAACCATCTCCAAAGGGTCAAGCCAAAGACGAAATCAGAAAAGTTTACTGCCAATCGTTTAACGCTGATCAAAATCGGTGTCGTCGACCATCA